CAAAGGCTGCGTTAGCTGGGATTTGGGGGGCCACCATCCCCCCCAAATATCTGGAAGGCCCTTATTAAGTGATCTGGACTTAAATCTCCTATCTGGCCATCTGCGGCGCATTGTTCATATTTATTTATTTATCTATTTATTCCCCACCTTTATTTATTTTTTTTACAAATAAATTCAAGGTGGCGGATATATCCGCCACACCTTCCTTCTTCTACTTTTCCCCAGAAAAACAATGCAGTCAAGTGAACATTCAGATAAAATTTGGATCTCATGCACCGCATACCGAATCACGTCGGATCAATCGTCTTTCCATCTAATTAAACTTCCCTTGCAAGGACACAGCCTCTTGATTGACAGGGGTGTCTGCAAGATCGTGATGACAACGGGGCAATCAATCTCTCTTTTTTAGCTGAGTGGCCTGCTAGACTGTAGCTTATAACATGCTAGGCCAGGATTAAATGGAGCTGGGCGGTTAAGTGGCTTGTAGGAATCCATTCCTCGTTTTTGCATGCCGAGTGACTCAAGTCTCTCCCTCTAAAACCAGTGGCTCCCAACCTTTTGGGCACCAGGGACCAGTTATGTGGAGAGAGGTTTTCCCACAGGCTGGAGGGCATGTGGTTTCTCGTGCTACCTGCATCCCACGGATGGGGCTTGGTGTCAGACCTGCCCCCCAGTCAGCCCCTCAGGAAAATAAGACTCTTGAATCCATTGAGTTGAATCAAAAGAATGGCGTTGGACCTGACACTTACCTTTTTGCACGGCCCAGTTTCTGGCATGCTGTGGCCCGGTGCCGGTTCACGGACTGGGGGGTTGTGGACCCCTGCCCTAAACCATCGGATGTTTGATGATGTAGGCCTTGCATACTAAGAGAACGTAGAAAGCGTGTTTTGTTAACCAGAGTTGGAGTTTGGTTATGTTTATGTCAGGGGCCTAAAATGTCCAGATAATTAATAAATGAAACCAGCATTCATGACAGTTCTTTAGGCAGGCGTTAATAGCAGTGCAAATGTTCAGCTGTATTTGAGACACACCCTTAAATCAGCATCTGTGAGCTGTGAGCCCTGGTAGCACAGTGGTTAGAATGCAGTACTGCAGGCTACTTCTGCTGCCTGCCGGCTGCCAGCAGTTTGGCAGTTCGATTCCCACCGACTCAAGATTGACTCAGCCTTCCTTCCTTCCGAGGTCGGTAAAAGGAGGACCCAGATTGTTGGGGGGCAATAGGCTGACTGTGTAAACCGCTTAGAGAGGGATGTAAAGCACTGTGAAGTCTAAGTGCTATTGCTACTTTGTAGTTTGTAGTTCTTTTGTAAAGGGACTGAATTAGCAAACTTACTTGTCTTAGCCACAACTTCTGGAGGCAACTTCTGTTCCACCAGTGGAACGGCTTGCCTTCGGAACTTATGGATGCTCCATCACTGGAGGTTGTTAAGAAGATACTGGACAGTCATTTGTCTGAAATGGCTTAGGATCTTCTGCTTGAGCAGGGGGTTGGACTATAAGACCTCCAAGGTCCCTTCTAGCTCTATTCTGATTATGATTTTTTTCCCCACGGGTAAGGGTGACCCCCAGACTTGACGTGTTCACGCAAAAGAGTTTCGGAGGCTACCCTCTTGATCCCCCAATGCAGATCGAGGATGCAGCGGAAAATGTATGCAATGGGGGGGGCAAAGAGGGAGGGGGGGACCCTGATTGGAAATCAATCTCTGACCGAGTAAAAGGTGGGGGTGCTCCCCACTGAGATCCAAATCAACAGTGGATGGTTCCCCATCCCCCCCCCACCTCCCCTTCCCTGTGACCGCTTTTGGAAGAAACCCACAAGTGTGAAGTTTACATCTCAGCCTTGTGACGAAGAGTCTCCTGCGGGAGGCGAGAGCGAAAGGCACCATCTGCCAAGTTGTGCACACAAGGGTTGTGCATACAAGGCGGTCTTTGTTCGGCTGCAAAGTCTCGCTCAGCCCCGTAGAGACGCGGGGCCATTGCTTCTTCCCGGCACATGTGGGGGCCTTCTGGCATGGGCCACTGCCTGGCTGGGGGAGGTCAATCCCACTCATCTCTCCTTCTCCAATTCCCCACCCCACCCCCACCAAAACTGCTGGCAGGTTCAAGAGAACATCTCGCAGAATGAGATGCGAGGGGAAAAAAATTCTTTTTGCCTGTGGCTGGACCCCTTTGAGAAACTAGAGCAGAGCAGGCATGCCAATGTTTGCTCTGAACTGGATTTGGGGAGAGGGGGGGTGGGATAGCCAGGCCAGGAATTGCCTAGACCCTTTTATTTATTTAAAGGTCCATGGAGATTCTCCACCATCCAGGTCACCGCCTGTCCCAAAGGTGCTTTTCCAAAAGGCAACTCAACTTTCTCGTCCTGTTTCGTTTGAAAACATTTCGTTTCTCGTCCAAGAAGCTTCTTTTGCAGTTCGGTTTTATTCCTTTATTTGTCTGTTTAGCGGCTTTATCTAGCCCTCCCCCCACTCCCACCCCCTCCACCTACCATGACTTTGGGCAGCCTGCAAAACCTAACAAGAAGTACCAGAAAACACTCAAATATAAATGAAAGAAAAAACAGGGAAACCCAAAACTGCAGGACAGCAACTTTTCCTAAACTTCTTCAAGGGAAGGAGAAAAGCTACAAAGATTTTTCAAGGGCAGTTTTTCCCCCCCCTTAACCGATGAAAGAGACATCAGTTCCACTCCTGAAACTTTCCTGCAGGTTCTGCAGGAGGGTGGAGGGTGTCAGGAGAGGGAATGGCCCAACGCCAGACAGGCCATTCACGCACACACCTCACTAGGAAATAGTGTAACAGTACAACGGTTCGCCCATGAGAATTTCTCCCCATTTTATCTGGATTTCTATCGCAAGATAGAAGTTTTCACCCTTAAACCCCCTTACTGAGTTCACATGTCTTTTCTGGCGCTGCACAATAAACTGGTGGGGGGGGGGGCTTTTATATGGGTATTTTAGAGCAGGCTTTTTATTTAATATTTATTGTGATTTTTATTATCGCCTGTTCACCGCCCTGAGTCCCGTAAGGGAGATAGGGCGGTATATAAATTTAAATAATAAAAATAAAATAATAAAACTAACCACAGGGGATGAATTTCCACAGCATCCTAAGTCACACCTCTATAGCACACACAGTACCATCCTCACCAGGCAGGACAAAACCCTAAGCAAAGTTAAAACTCAGCTAACTTCATACTTGGTGCAGCTACAAGTTTGATTTACGACTACTGTTGAGCCCAACATTTCTGTTGCTAAATGAGACATTTGTTCAGTCAGTTTTGCTCCATTTTACCATTTTTTCTCGCCACAGCGCTTAAGGGAATCATTGCCCTCATCTGTTGAGTTAGTAAGATGGTTCTTAAGTGACTTTTGTTTGTCAGAAGGTCTGAAAAGGGGACACGGCAAACGTCATAACTACGAGTCGGTTGCCAAGCCTCTGAATTTCGATCACGTGACCCTGGGGGTGGGGGAATGCTTGCAACAATGTGAAAAAAAGGATGAAAAAACAGTCAGCAGTCCTTTTTCCCCCCCAGTGCTGTTTTAACTTTGAAGGGTCACTAAATGAACTGTTGTAAATTGAGGACTAGCTGCCTTGGGTAAATGCTTTGTGCGAGCACAAAATTGGAACTTCAGAAGTTGCCCAAGAAGAGGAGATGGGTGAGTGGGTGGGTGGGTGGGCAGGACCTCGTCACGGGTCCCAGGCGAGGTCCAGGAGCCGGGCGCAGATGATGGGTGGCTTATAAAAAGGGCTCTCCCCTGGACTGGCACGTAACCCTGACGATGTCGGAAGGAGTCCGACGAAAGCTTGGTGTATTTATGTTTTATGTTTTGTGTTATTAAACTTTTTTAGTTTGATATACTCCTGGTGCTCACAGTTTGCTTTTTGAAGATGATCACACCCAGGAGTCACGGTTTTAGTTTTAATGTTATTAGAAGTATATATATATACTTCATAGGGGCCAAGCTTTCGTCGGATCCTTCCGACATCCTCAGGGCACAAAGTCAATCAATGGGAAAAGCAGTTATAAATAAACCGACTTTGTGCCCTGAGGATGTGCCCTGAGGATGTCGGAAGGATCCGACGAAAGCTTGGCCCCTATGATTGTATGCTTTTAAAAGTTTTTAAAGGTTTTTTACTAAACTTTGAATTGTCTTATACACTCCTGGTGTTCGCATTTTTATTTTGTATTATGGATATTCCCAGGAGTCATTCGTCTGTCTTTTATGTTATTTGCAACCATATATATATTTTTGATCCTTGTCCCCATTTACGGAACCTCAAAGTCCCTCTCCAGCTTCTCCTGCTCCTTGTGTTGGAAGGACGAATGGAACCTCCAGGATCAGGAACGGCCTTCTGAATAATAAAGGGCAGAAGGTGGCAGAAACCCCTGGGAAACCCCTGCAAGGGCAGAGGGGGAGACAGGACCCCGGCCCCACCAGGTCCCCCTCCCCTTGCATTCACTTTGGCCGGCCAGGGCCGCTGGAAAGCCGCTCAGGAGAGGCGGAGGAGCGGCCAAGGTCTGGCTCCGGCGGCGCAGGCAGCCTCCCTCCTTCGCTCGCCCTCCTCCGGAGCGGCTCTCCGGGCTGGCGCGCCGCCTGGCATCCAGCTGCAGCCTGGCTTCCCTGCCTTTGGCGCGATTGGCTGCCACCCGGTCTCCGCCCTGCCCAGGCGAGGCGGGACCCCTTTCCGCTTGCACGGCAGCTGATTGGAAGGCCGGCGGGGTGATTGACGGCTGGGGCTGTTTGCAGGGAAGAGAGACGGGGCGGGGGGGGGGAGTCATTCCTGCAAGGCTGAGTTGCTGCGGCTGCCGTCGAAGTTCGCTGCGCTCCAGTTCGCCTTTTCTTTCCCCCCTTTGTCGTCTTGACTGCTGCTCCGTTTTCTCTCTGTTGCGCTTCTGCTGATTCCCTTTCTTCTTCTTCTTCTCCTCCTCTCCTTCCGTGCCTCTTCTTTCTCCTTCTTCTCCTCCTCCTCCTCCTCTTCCTCCCGCCGCCCCTGCTCCCTGCTCCCGTCTCCCTCCTCTCCGCCCCGTCTCTCCTTCTCCTTGGCAACCGCTCTTCTTGCAGGGAGAGGCTAGTGGTTAGAGCCGAAGCTGGATGGATGGTTATGGGGAAAGGGGCAAGCGCCAAAGCCCTTGGACCGATCCAGTTCCTCTGCTGGCTCTCCATCTTCCCCGCAGGTAAGCAAGACGCGCGCCTCTCCCGACGGACACCCCTCCCCTCCGTCCCCTTTGTTGGTCTGGGGTTTTTTTGGGGGGTGGGGGGCTGTCTTGAAAACGTTTCCTGGGGAAAGGGCTCTTTGCAAAACAAACCAAAACCAAAAGAAAACCCAAAGCCTGCTCCGAGGGGCTGCTGGCCCCGAAGCCTGGTCCTCCACAGCCCTTGGAAAGCATCGGAGAGGGAGCCGGGGCGCTTCAACCCAGCCGGATTCTCCCTTCCCGGGCCGGTTGCTTAAAACAATAACAACAACAACAACAACAACAACAACAACAAATGCGTCCCGTGTAGTATTTCTTCGCTCGGCCTTTGTCTCTCGCCTAAGACGGAGTCCCTTGCAAGAGAAAGAAAGAGAGGTACCCGCAGAAGTCAACTTTTTTTTTTTTTTGAAGAGCAGAGTTGCCAAAATTGCTCTGGATAGTTGGAAGTCTAGGCTGGGAGCGAACGGAGCGCGGCGTGTGTGTGTGTGTGTGTTTCTGTTTCCAGCCCCCACGTCCCGCCTTTCACAAATTTGGGGGCAAGCAAAGCAACGGGGTTGGTTTTGTGGCGGTCTCTCTTCTCCCTCGGCTGCGGGAAAGTCCTAACGCCAGCTTACTCCGAGGTGGACCCGTTTCGGAGTGGGGTGGGGTGGGGGGCTGCTCAAATCGCCTTTGCACCGTTCACTGCAGTTTATTTAGCATTTGAATGCGGAGTTTAGGGTTTCTCTGCCCGGGAGGGGGGGGTGTAATTCGGAACGCTAGTTTTGGACCTCTGAATCCCTACATGAGCTGGATCTCTATCTGAAAAGATCGTCTGGGAATCTGCTCCTGCGTTCAGATCTCTTCCTTAAGGCCCTGAGGTCCCGTCCCCCGAAAAAGGTCCATCGCCCCCCCCCCCTCACCGTTGAAAATGTGGCAGTGGGACTGGTTTACCACCAGCCCCTTTTGACCCTTTTTCAGAAGTTGCAGCCTGCCCGTTTCTTTCTAGGCTGCCCTCTTCGTCTCGAGGTCCCGGCTTAGCGTTCCCAGATGGGTTTTAAGAGTTTGCAAAGGAAGCAGAAGGCTCTGGAAATCACTGCACGCGCCTCCCCCGTCGCTCTCGTTTTCATTTATCCAGGCTTTGCATCTTGGAAAGAAGTTACGGTTTTATTTGGGGGGGGGCGTGGAGGAGGAAGATGGCGCCCAGTTACTGACAGCAGAATTCACTTGCTCCCTCCTTCGTTTTAGGCTGCCTTATTGTTCTTCGCAGTTTTGTTTTTTTTTGGGGGGGGGAAGGCGAGCGAGGACGGGAGGGAAACAAAGGAATGAATATTTGAGCACCCCCTTTTTGGGAGGTGGGGGGAGAGGGGTGGGAAAAAAAAGTTGGGGAGGACTATGCCCGGCCGATGGATTTTCCCGGCTGTAACCTGCTCTTATAGCGCTTGTTCCGTGCTTGGTTGCGTCGCCAGATGTTGATCTATTTCATATTTCCAAGCCCAAAGAAGGAGGGCAGCTGTTGCGGGGAGGGGGAAATACAGGCGCTGAGAAGGTTTGGATCTCCTTTCTTGATTCCCCCTTCCTCCCATTCTCTCTCCCCCTCCCCAGTTGCCTCGTTCTTGTTGGTTTGCGAGTTTTCCTTTGCTGAGTTGCAGACGGATCCTTGGTTTTCAGGGAAAAAAACCTCCCTCCATCCCTCCCTCTTCTTCCTTTTTCTTTTTCTTCTCTTCTTCTTCTCTTCTTTCTTCTTCACTTTCTCCTCCTCCTCCTCTTCCCCAACCCCCCCCCCCCGGCCCTCGGTTTGTTTTTACGAAGTCGGGAAAGGAGTGAATTTTCCAGCATCGCAGCTGAGAAACGCCATCTGTTTCCAATGAATTCCCCCACTGCTTTTTCACAGCGTTTCTGGCAGATCCTGCTCTGCAAATTCCTGCATGCTTGTTTTCGTTGGGGGAGGGGAGGCGTAACTTCACACTGGCGGAGTTGTTCCTTCCAAAAATCTCCAATTTCGTGGCCGCTGGGCTGGCTTTCCCCCCCCCCCACCCTCCCTGCCGTTTACCCCAGGCGGTGGAGAGGAGGGGGACGAGCAGGAGAAAAAAGGGGTAATGCACGAGGTGCAATTTGTCTGTTGATACAGGCTGCGGGGTGACTTTAAAAAAAAAAACACCTCCCCTTTGCGGAGGTGTGAATTGATGGCTGGCAGGGGAGCATTTTTTTTATTATTATTAGAAACAAAGACCATCCACCTTATTAACACCTGTGTACGCCTCGCCCGAGTGTGCAGACAAAATCATAATGGTAATCATCATCCCTGGGAACACCAAGTTGACAAAAGCTCTTGAAAAGGAACAGGTCAAGATCCTGTGGGACTTTCGGAGCCAAACAGACAGGTATCTGGTCCACGACACACCTGGCATCACTATTGCAGAAATGAAAAAAAAAAAGTCTGGTTCATCGATATTACAACACCAGGTGATGCACAAATTGCCTAGGAAAAAAAAAAATAAGGACATATTGTGATTTGCAAATTGAAGTTGAGCCACTGTGGAGGAAGAAATAATTGTGCCAATGATAATAGGACCCGTTGGAGCAATACCCAAAGGGCTGCCTAAATACATGGAAATTTTGAACATATTAGACCTGAATATCCTGACTTTGCAAAAAAACAAAAAACAAAAATACCTTACTTGGAACTGCCTATATACTCAGACGCTACCTTAACACCTCTTAGGCCCTTGGTTAGGACTTGAACTGTTAAGTTTTTACCAGTCCCAGACTGTGAGTTGAATTGAAGATGAAATCTTAAATAATAATAACCATGACAACGACATTCTCCCCTCTTATCCCAAGTCTTTGGGAAGGACTCTGATAGGTGGATTAAAATGCCAAATCCAGTCTGAGCATCTGTCTGACTGTGCCAGGAACTATAACCATCGCCATGTTTTCTTAACTTTCACACTTTGCAGTAATTCTCATGAAATGGGTCACAGGGCCAATAATCCTTTGTAAAATAGCCATAGTCTGGGGGGAGGTCCTTAAACTTCCCATCTCTATCAATGGGAAGTCGCTATAGGGTCCAAGCAAATCCAAAACATTTTGAGGGGCCCTTGGTGCTCTCTGAGCTTGGTTGGTTTTTGTTTTTTTTTTGGTTTTTTTGGCAGAAGTTTAAAATCTTCAGTGCTAGTGGTGATTTGTTGTTGTTAGTTGCGAAGTCGTGTCCGACCCATCGTGACCCCATGGACAACGTTCCTCCAGGCCTTCCTGTCCCCTAACATCTTCTGGAGTCCATTTAAGCTCATGCTTCAGTGACTCCATCCAGCCAACTCATTCTCTGTCGTCCCCTTCTTCTATTGCCCTCCATCTTTCCCAGCATCAGGCTCTTCTCCAGTGAGTCCTTCTTTCTCATTAGGTGGCCAAAGTACTTGAGTTTCAACTTCAGGATCTGGCCTTCTAAAGAGCAAATGATGTTACCTAGTTTGGGTACATCTGTAAGAAACCCACCAAGCTCGGAGAGCAGCAAGGACCCTTCATTTCTACTCTGAGCTACAAATATTCTCCTTTATTGGTACAAAATTCTTTTCTGGTGAAACACGTCATGCTCCAAATCACCTTGCAAGAAGGAACTTGATTTTTGATCTGGAGTGTGTTTGTGCACCCATTTCCTTATTCTCAGCCTCAGCAGCCCAAATATGAATAATGAAAGAGGTAGGGTGAGGGTGGGGAACTTACAAAGTATTCTTTTGGCTTGATAGGTTTTTTTTTAAATGGGGAACGGAGGGAGGGGATGGACTAAGGCCTACTGAAGCTGACATTATGTAAACCTTCCTTTGTTGGGCTCGAATTCTCCTGAATTCATCTTGGTTGTAATCTCTTTTGGAGAGAGTTAACTAAAAGGATCTTTCTGGCAATGGATAAATTTGTGCCTTTGTTTCCTTCTTATGACCGGCCAGTCTACCCTTCCTGGTATAGTATTTTCCCTGGGGTTCATGACCCTCCTTATTAGTTTCAGATAACTAGGACCTCTGAAGATTCTTTTCAACTACTCTTGTGTTCCTAGAACTCTTCTTTGCTTTTTATAAAGTTATTTAATCTCTTTTTAAAGTCTCGGGAAGTTTTGCAGCCTTCAACACATCTTGTGGCAACTAATACTCTGCCTTGTGCGAGAAAGATATGAGAATTTGCAAAGGCTTATTATGGTCTGATAAATCAGTGGGTCTCTAAGGAGCTGCAGGGCTGAAGTCACCCTATACTAATTGACCCCCCCTTGTCTCTTAGCAACACTGCTGTAAGCATTGCTTTTTTTTCTTTTTTCTTTAACCCCCCCCCTCCCGCCACATTGTGTTTCCTTTGTAGGAATATAATGGTAGTGATTTACAAAGAAATAGGCTCTAGATTGCATTGCACCATTTGTTCTTTGATTTTATGCAAATTCTTGATTGGTATGGAGAGAGAGAGAGGGAGGGAGGGAGGGAGAGAGAAAGAGGGAGGGAGAGTTTTTTTGTCTATCCAAACTTTTCTTTGAGTAATCTACAAAGGTTCAAGAGTGTTTTGAGCCAGGACAGACAAATTAAAAGTCAAGACACGACTTCTAGTTGACATTCAGTTGAAATAATTCCTGTAAGAATGATTTCTTACAGGAAAGAAGCTTCTTGGATGAGAAGCAAAAGATTTTCGAGGGGAAAAAAAAAACCAAGAAGGTCCAGTTGCCTTTGGGAAAAGCACCTTTGGGATAACCATGACCTGGATGGCTGAGAATCTCCATAGACAATCCTGTAAATGCGGTTTATTCCCCATGTATTTTAATCATGCTTCCCCCTTCAGTCACACTGGGTGGAAACTAGAGTGATCTTGGGGGTATGAAGGCTTTGAGGACTGCCCTCAAACATTTGGGTAACTGGGGTTTTCAGGTTATGCAGGTTTTAGCCTACAGAGTCCACAGGAAATCTGAAAAAAAAAAAAAAAAAAAGATCTGGGGGCCAG